ATGACACCTGTCGTGCCATTGCCATGACAACAGTTATTATGCTGGTTCTGTTTTAATTAAGACTAAAATTTCCAGATTTTATCTTAAACAAGGATCATCCTCTTCCCCCAATCTAATGGGGAGAGTTAAGACAATATGGGAACCATGTTTGTTCCGAGCAAGACCCTCTGTCCCACTTTAAGAGGTTGCAAATGGGGATATTTGGTTTTTCACAGAAAGACAGGAGCCAAGAGTGTTGCCATGGAAAAAGCATAGTAGGTTTCATTCTATTTCTTTTGCGATGTACATTGCTGGTGCCGAGTTTGAAGAACACTGCTGTAATATTTCTAGAGTTATTCTGGATTGAGTGTTGTGCTGTTTAGAGGAACCACCTATGATGTCATCAATTTCCTCATTAGCATAATACAAAAACGTGAATATCTCTAAAACGAAAAAAGATATGCCAAAAAGGAAAATGCCATTCTAATTTACTTTGAAAAGCCTTTCAAATAAACAGGAATTATTTTTTACTTGATAGGCACTTTAAATGACCCTCATTCCAAATGTATCACTCACCATTCTGGTGAAGTACAAATGCATTAAACAAATTTTATCCTTTTCATCTTTATACATAAAACAAAGACTAGTTCCTTCCACAAAGTGACCCATGAAATCTTAGAAATTTTTTTTAATTTCGATGGGTTGGCTGGCATAGGGTTAGAGCAGCTTGCAGCCAGTTAGGGTCCATCTAGTGTTAATCACTTAAAGGGGTGCCATGGATGGAAAGGGGTTAGAGTGCTGCATCAAGGTCTCATCCCAATCCCATTCAACCTAAATTGTTTTGCGTCATACTCCCTACCTGACTTCAAGACAAAAACAGAACACCAGCAGCCTAGCATAGGGTGTATGTTTTAGCTGTCAAAAAGTAGGCACCTTTCAAAAGTAGCATTGTTAAGAAAAGAGTCGTCAATCTAAATTACACAAAGCAATAAAAGTCATTACTTTTGGAACATTCATGTTACAATAAGATCAGGGAGTCAAGGGTTTGAATACCGGTACCACTCAGGGCATCTGATTTTTTCCAGCATTTGCTCTCTATTAAATATAGACAGGCACATCGGAGTTTAGCTCTCTGTTGATGAACAATTTGCTTGAAATATGCCATGTTACTTAAATTTGTGTTACAGTTTATGCAAATTTATCTAGAACATTTTTTGAAATTAATTTTTTTAAATATCAAATGATAGACTTCATGACTTCAGTTTACAGAAAAACATTTACTGACGTTAACCATCTTCATTTGTTGATTCATGATGGTTCTCCAAGGATTTTCTAGCATCAGATTACTCTCATCACTGAACCATTCCTTTTAACTGTGTTTACTTCAAAATTTATCACAATACTTTTGTATTGCACTATAACTGGAAATCGACTTGAATATTTCCACTTGAGTTGACACACTGTTTGTCTAGGGTTGGGGGAATTATCACAAGGCTTCACTCCAATCCAAGGACCCTAGTACATTCTCACCTCTCAGTCACAGGAGTCTATCCTCCACTCAATTCTTTATGACAGGCCTTAAAATAGGCATGCCATAGGCAGCCTTTAACATCACGAGTGATTCATGAATCTTGGAAAGTCATCCTGATTATACATTTACAACAAGAAAAGGAAATATTTTGACCAAAATAACTGAGCCAAATTAAGAATAGGTAGGGAATATGCAGAGATACCAACCTGAAAAACTAAAATTCTAGGAGATTGTTGATTTTGCCTCTTACAGTTAGTACATTATTGATTCCCTTGAATCCCAGGGTATTGCTGACCCACACGGAGGGCCACAAGATACCCAGGAGAGACTCACATATGAAAAGGTCGGGGATGCTTGTCTTCTAGCTTAGGGGTATAAATCAAGCATTCTGGTCTCACTTAGCATGATCATAGCTGTCAAAATATATTTTACGGTGCACTCGAAGATATAAGAGTAACAGAAATGCTCTTAATTCCATTTTTAGGCTTGATTTCCGCCGGTCTCTTGAGTCTGATCTACTAGCACAGGCTCCTTTCCTGAATAGTGGCTGATAATTGAGCCTATCCCATTTAAGTGGTATCTTTGAGGGGTTAGATAGAGCTGAAGCCATGCCCAAATTGGTCTCCTTTGGGTGCTGAATTCAAATTTTTCAGCAAGCATGCTGCATCCCCGACCCCCCTCTCCCCAGGCATAAGATTTAGTCTGTATTCAGGTGACACCCTGATAATCTGAGAGAGTTTGCATAGATCATAAATAAGTTTGTATTTTTTTTTTCAAACCTCAGACACTACATGAACCTGTGGTCTCTGTAAATATTATTTGTTATCATGACTTTCAGGACAGATCCAAGAACAACTCCTCTGTCTCTTAATTATTTAGATGGAGGTTGATTACCAGGTGGTACCCAGGACTCGGGCTCATAAGTTTCTTCACCATCCTTCCGCTTACCATTTGACCCTGGGAACCACTCTCCCGGCTGAAATGTTGTACCAGTGCTTGTGGGCTGGGTTCTATTGTCTAAACTTTCGTATAAAGGAGCAGCAGCATGTCCAACTTGGGCTGCTATCTGAGGCACCTTTTGCTCCAATGCTTGCTGTTCTCTGTCCTTTTCTTCAACTTGTTTTGCCCTTTCTTTCAGAGTCTTTATTCTGTTTTGTTCAGCTAGAAGCTCTTCGTGTGTCGGTGGGTTATCTCTCTTCCCTCTGATCCACGCCTCCCACTCTATGGGGATCAAATCAGGCGTGTATTCTGAAGGTTTCAGTTTTGTAATCATCTCTCTTCTAGGCTTTGTTCCATCTCGGATGGTTTCATAATACTGGTTCCCATGCAGATCGGTTCCAACAAGACGTCTTGTCTTGCTAAAGGCATTTAACAACGTTCTTGCCCACTGCATTTTGGTAAGCTTATCTGTCTGTTGCAAAATTTGTTATTATTTTTCCTGGGAACGCGTTAAATTAGCTAAAAGCAGGCAAGCATCCACCTCATATCCACCATGTGATCCGCCATGGTAACTGTTGGAAAGCGGATTCACATCAAGGAGTATGCGCACAAACGCAGCAGTCACGAAGAGCTTTGTTTATGTTTTTGAGAATCACGAGTTGCGGTCGAATATCGTTGTTACGAAATCGAAGAGAGCAATACCTTTAAAATGTCAATGAGATGACGACAAAAGTATCTGGAAATGGTACAGTGCTATACCCTGTTAAATTTCTCCGTTTTACTGTCGTATTTCGCAGGTTAGTATATGACATACTCTGTAACTTACTCGTAGTTCACGTGACATTTTGATCGTGTTAACGTTGTGTGGCAAACAATCAATTTAGTGAAGCTACACACTAATCGCTCTCATTTGTTACGCAAGTTTTAGCATTTCTTCTCCATAAGAATCAAGCTGTAATTGTATCGGAAAAGTGGCTACAGACGCCAGGTTATCTTTTGGTGCTACAGCTGAGGTCAATCGCGATCTTCTCAGTACTGTAGGCATCGTAGAGTTACATAATTGCATTGTATTATTTATTTGCATTGTATTATTTATTTGCATAAGTCTTTAAGTTTGTAAAAATATTTACAACCTTTCTTCAGTTCCTCTAATTTGTTTAGTCTGGCTTAAATTTAAGATACCGGTACAGTAATCCCTGTATTTAATTTAATAGAACGATCTAGAACTTGGTTAAGCAAGCTTAGACACATCTAAAACGTGCTTTACCTTTTTCTGGACTTTATAATGTATATGAAAAAAAGAATGAACTGATCAGTACATGTTTAAAATTTTTTTAACATGGTTAAAAATTGTTTGGAGCATAAAAGTCACTTTGAGAGCTTTTTGACTTCATATCCAATTTTCCTGGTCAATTTTCCTTCTGTTCTGTTATGAACAACAAGGCATGTTGGCTTAAAACAGGGGCACCCAACGGATCGGTTCGGTAAATTATCTGTTCGGAAGGCCTTTAATCCCCTCTGACTTTCTGAATAGAATTGTCACCTCGAACTTTCGTGATATGAGAAATTTAATGTCTGTTGTTTTCGGATTGTAAAAAATGTCGTTTTGGGTACCGAAAAAAGGTCAGCTA